TAAACTGCTAAATTGAACCAAAATTTATCGAAGGAACAATGACGTCCGCCATCTTGTGGCGCGGTTTTTGAGTTTTGTTTACTATTACGCTGCCTGACGATCAAATATAAGAGACTCATGTCAAATTCGAAATTGCTGAAGTTCCTCAACAAAAGTCAAAATCAACCGACACCCAGGAACATTTATACTCCTGCCATACTATCTGACAGAAAAGGGAACTGGTTACGTCGCCAAATTGATCCAGCGAATACAGTCCACAACTCGATCGTGTGGGTCTGTCAAAGTGGTAGTAAAATCTGTGACCGTTACAACTGGCTCCAGAAGAATATTGAACAGAAGATATCTCACCATGGCCAGTTATGGATATATATCTGGCTAGGAACCTGCGATCTTACATCGTACAAGAACAAATATATCTCGCTCACCACCGACGAGGATGACACCACCCAACATGTCGTAGACGATTACAAGAAACTTATCAGACTGATTCATCAGTATAAGTGTGGGGTAACCGTCCTTGAAACACCTGTTTACTCTATATACCACTGGAACATCCATAGGCATCACAAATCTCCAGAGGTATTCAAATCCCAAGACCTCGAACTCGCCAGAATAGTCATCAGCTTGAACAACATAGTCAGGGAAATCAACGATGACCTAAATTGTCATACACCAAAATTCCCAATAGACCTGCATGTCTACTCGAAACACAAGAAAGGAAAAAGTGTTCGGACTCATTACAATTTTGGACTCTACGCCGACGGAATCCATCCTGCACGTCTACTAGCCAAAGTCTGGCTCAAGAAAATATCAGACCAAGCTCAACGTGACTGCTGGGAATAATGGGGCTACAGAACTGGTAAGTACGGGCTCATCCGCGCTATCCAACCCTGTAATCCCACCCTTTCCCTAATTTGTCAGAAAGGATTGAGAGAAATCTACGGTAAAATGGTTAGTACGGGCTCTACCGCGCTATACCAAATTTATGCCGTACGCCTCTTAACTTCCAAAACTAATCATGTCAGCGATGCTGACGATTACAGTGATATTCCTTATCGTCATCGGGAAAACATGGGATCCGCCATCAATCACAACCACTACAACCCCATGTATTACAAATGTCATATTCGAAAACATCGTCCAACCAATTAGCCATATCGACAATCACCTGCTCACCAACGTCATTCTAAAACGCTGTCTATTAGCTAGTTCATGCCCATCCAAGAAAAGGTCGCTTTTGGCGTACCTAATTATAACCCTGTTATCAAATGCTAACGACATAAACCTCAATCCTGGACCAAATGACACCTACCAGAACGAAAGGCAATACGACTGTGGGACATGCGATAAGACCGTTGCCTGGGGAAAGAAAGGAATCAAATGTGAAACATGTGACCAATGGTACCACGCATCATGTCAAAATATCAACACTGTTTCCTACAACCAACTCGAGGATTCTGAACTGGACATCAGCTGGTATTGCATCCTTTGTAATAGCCCCAACTGTGGCACCACAGTTAATCAAACCAACTTCACAAGCTCTGAATCAACAACATTCTCAGCATCAACATTAAATGATCCATCACTCTCGAGTCCAGACGCTAGACCAAAAACTAAACCAATCCACACTTCAACTCCAACAAGGAAGCCGCCGCCCAACAAAAATAAGGCCCCACTAAGAATTATAAATATCAACTTTCAATCAATCAAGAGCAAGCAATGCAGACTAGCAAATGTAGTAGAAAGCGTCAATCCAGACATCATCATTGGTACAGAAACGTGGTTAACCCCCGATATCAAAGACGCTGAAGTATGCCCTGAAGGCTATGTACTACATAGAAAGGACAGAACATCATCCGGAGGAGGAGGTGTACTTATCGCTGTAAAACAAGATTACAGCAGCGAACTTGTCCCAGATCTAGACACTGACTGTGAAATAGTCTGGGTTAAGATTGACATCAAAGGAACGGCGAACATCTACATGTGTTCCTACTACAGACGGCACATTTCAGACGAGGACAGTTTGATCAACTTTGAAATTTCCATCGCCCGAGCATCATCAAATAAAAACGCAGCAATTATCATAGGGGGGACTTCAACTTTCCAGGCTGGGATTGGAAAAACAACACACTGAAAGCAAACACCGCCCATCCTCACCTCCGCAATCAATTCAGGAGTTTAATCGACAAAAACCATCTTGTCCAACACATCGAAACAAACACCAGGATAACAAACACACTGGATCTTCTACTGACAAACTGTCCAAGCAAAGTAACAAGAACTGACGTCCTACCAGGAATCTCGGACCATGAAATTGTTTATGCAGAGGTAGATTTTAGACCAGTGATCCACCGACAAAAGCCGAGACAAATACCCCTCTACAAAAAAGCAAACTGGGCTGCGATGAAACAAGACCTCAGTGACCTCCTCCCAAACATGACTGCTATGTTTCAAGATGGCCAATGTGAAGTCACAAAAATGTGGGACTCTTTCAAATCACTCATAGAGGCAACAGTAAACAAGAACATTCCACACAAACATACGAAAAATAAAGACGGGAACCCGTGGATCGGAATGGAACTCAAAAAACAACTTAAGAGACAGGAAAGACTCTACAAAAGAAAAAAGAAAACGGGTGACCCACAACATATCGCCCAATACTTGGAACTTAAAAAACAAATTCAAAAATCATCCAGACAAGCATATTGGAAATACATTGAAAACAAAGTAACACCCAAGGAAGAAGACAATAACAATACCTACTCTGGAATGAGACGATTTTGGACATATATCAAACATAAAAAGAAAGACAATGTCGGAATTACATCACTAAAGCTAGATGGAAAACTCTTCACAGATGCCAAATCCAAGTCAAACATCCTAAACCAACAGTTCAAGTCAGCATTCTCGGAAAAAAACATCATTATCATTCGACGAATTTCGGAAATCTAAACGTATGACATCAAAGGAATATCCAAAAATGAAGGAACCTGAAATCACCACCAAAGGAATAGAGAAATTACTTGGGAAATTAAACCCACACAAAGTTCCAGGCCCTGACAACATCTAACCCCGAGTACTAAAGGAGCTCTCCATCGACATAGCCGCAATTCTCCAGTTAATCTATCAAAAATCACTGGACACTGGAATAGTCCCTCTTGACTGGTGTTCAGCAAATGTCACCCCTGTATACAAAAAAGGGCAAAAATCTCAAGCGGAAAACTACAGGCCAATATCTCTCACCTCAGTGTGCTGTAAGGTCATGGAACACATCATCGCGAGTACCATTATGCTCCATGGAGAAAACAACATCCTCCATCCTCTCCAACATGGATTCCGGAAAAACAGATCATGTGAAACCCAGCTAATCGAATTTGTTGATGATGTCTCCAAAAATCTTCAATCCGCCAAACAAACTGATATTCTAATCATGGATTTCGCAAAAGCTTTCGACAAAGTCAATCATAGCCTCTTAATTCATAAACTAAAAAGCACATGGATAAGCAGCTGGCTAAAAGACAGAACCCAAAAAGTTATCATTGACAGTGAAAAATCAGACACAGTAAATGTGGACTCCGGGGTACCACAAGGATCAGTCCTAGGACCGGGACTATTTCTGTTCTACATCAATGATCTACAGGAAAAACTATCATCATCCGTACGACTATTCGCTGATGACACGATCGCCTACCTCACAATCACCAATCAAAATGATCCGAAACACTCCAAAAAGATCTGGACAAACTCGCGAAGTGGGAAGAAGACTGGTGCATGATGTTCCACCCAAATAAATGCACAGTGCTAACCATCTCTAACAGAAAAGCAGACGATAAAACATAATTACACCCTCCATGGTCATATTCTGGAAGCAGTTACATTAACAAAATATCTTGGACTTACAATATCAAGCAAGCTAAGCTGGGACCTCCACATAGATAACATCACCTCAAAAGCAAACAAAACCCTTGGATTTCTGAGGAGGAACTTGAAAATATCTTCAATAAAAATCAAAGAGCTTGCCTACAAAGCACTCGTCAGACCATTGGTTGAGTACTCGAGCTCAGTATGGGACCCCTACACCCAAATAAACATCAGCAAACTTGAATCGGTCCAAAGGAGAGCAGCCAGATTTATCATGAACAGCCACAGAAACCGTTCAAGCGTTTCATCCATGATCCAACGCCTAGGCTGGTTTTCACCCCAAACAAGAAGACGTCACTCAAGACTCCATATGATGTTCAAAATTGACAAACAACAAATAGCCATCAAAAAGGAAAACCGAATCGAAACACCAATGAGGAGGTCCAGAAAACAACACGATCGGTCCTACCAAATCCAGGCATGTAAAATAGACCCAAGAAAATATTCATTCTTCCTTCGAACAATAAAAGACTGGAACGAACTTGACTCAAAAACTGTGAACTCGACAAACTTGGAAACCTTTAAGAAAACTCTCAACGAATTGGAACTAAAAAAGCTTAAACTTCTAACCGACCCCGAACTCACTAGGCTTAAGGCTGGTGGGTCGAATCAACCAGCTTTAAACGTCTGACACTACATCAGTGTTTTTTAACTTTTTAACTTTTACAATCTAAACTTTTCAATTGTGTGTTCACCTGCGCATTGTGTATCATAAACATTGCATAATCTTCGATAAGACGAAGGAGGCAATTATATGGAAGAAGAAGAAGAAGATACTGCACCAGTTACAGAGAGCGAAAAGTATTATCAAACCTGATACCACGGAATTAGATTAAATTCAGTCGTATACTATTTTTAGTTTTTTGAGTGACACGTGACACGTGAGAATTATCATTATCACATTTTTATTTTAATCGTTTACATGCTTTTTGTTTGTATTTTAAAATTTTCCTCAAATAACCGGATATAGTCATCGTGTTTCCGCTATACGTTCTGACTGCTACTATAGCCGAATAAAATCTCCTCAAACGCTTAATTGTTAAGCAGAACCAAACATTTCCTTTCAAGCTTGTAAAGAACATAGATCACAGTAAAAACGAAAATAGTTGACACCACCGCTATGATTTATTTCCTGCATCGCCTGTTATTGTCAAGAGTTTTGTCGTAGATGTAGATCGGACCAAATGCATAGCAAGAATACACTTATTGTACCAGCTTGATATGGTTCCTGCTAATAATGACCGAAAGACCAGGAGTCTTAGATCATTTCAAATTGGACGATTTGAATTTGGATTCAAAGTTAGATCTACCAAAGATGAAAATCAAAATATTTCGTTTGCCTGGCTACTTATTGATATACTTTGATCCGAAAAATTGTTTGGTGAATACACTTGATTGATGAACATGCAAAATTATTAATTTCATCAGGAAACTACAAAAATGGAAGGAGAATTAACTTGTGGAATTTGCTTGGAATTTTTTGACAATCCCCTTATGTTACCATGCAGTCACAATTTCTGCAAGAAATGCCTTGAAGGAATCATCAATGCTAGACAAGGCTACCGCTTGAGACGTGGTCCAGGCGTCAACATTGACTGTCCTCTCTGCCAGAGACACTGGTCCTTGGACAATGGGCTAGAGGGATTACCAGGAAACCTAACACTTGACAACATTATCTCGCATTACAAGTCCAAAGGAGCAGTGCCTTACAGTGAAGCGTCATGGAACTCTGATTTAGATATTACAGAAGTAATATGCAAAATGCATGATGAACCAATGATTTTTTATTGCCTGACCTGTGATTCTGCTGTATGTAAAGAATGTGCCTGCTGCATTGAGAAAGGATCAAAGACATCTCATCGCTGTACCCAAATAAAGGAGCATGCATCAAACCTTCAGGTATCCTTGTGTTATCGGTTGCCGCGCACTTCAAAAGCAGGTAGAAAACCGTTGAAATTACGGATGACTGTCATAGACATGTACACAATCTACTAGTGGAAACAAAAAACTAGCAACATAAAAATGTCTCCCGTTGGAAGTAGCCGTCATATGTTTCCGTGTGTCTATTTTGATTTAGTGTTCAAAGAACGATAACTCGAATACACTAAAAAGAAATTCTCCACAGTGCACAGACAAAAGCTTTGTTTGGAATAAAAAAAAAATGTATGATCGTCAAATTAATTATCAAAACAAATTTTATATTCTGTTTAAATTTGGTGAAAATTGGAAGTTCATTACATTACAAGGTTTAACGTTTCATTGCAAACAGTGTTAATCGATATAAGAATGTCTCCTTCGCTATTCAATAGTGGAAAAAATTGGCAAGGTGTGGCCTCATTTAATTTGCAAACAACATTTTCGTACATTTGTAAGACTACAAAAAAGACTGGTTCATGAATGAAATATGTCACTGTTTTTTCGTTTATGAGTTCATTTTAAATTTGAGCAAGATAAAAAGTGTATTAAGCAAAACTGCATATTTATTCATGTTTTTTAATCGGTGATTAAATTTTATGTATTCCGAACGAATTTCTGATAATTTTTGTGTCAGTTTACAGACGATATCTGGCCAAACGTCTACAATATCCTTGTGTAGTGTCCATCAGGTCACGTAGTCACGATATATATAATAGGTTGATAAAATGGCTTCGCAGCAATAAATAACGTGCGGAAACATATGACAAGACGAAATATAACTAAATTCAAATACACATAAGGCTTTAGTATACTGTCTATATACTGTGCCATGTTCAGTATGGTTGTCTATATACTGTGCCATGTTCAGTATAGTTGTCTGGATACTGTGTGCCATGTTCAGTATGGTTGTCTAGATACTGTGCCCTGTTCAGTATGGTTGTCTAGATACTGTGTGCCATGTTCAGTATGGTTGTCTAGATACTATGCCATGTTCAGTATATGGTTGTCTATATACTGTGCCATGTTCACTATGGTTGTCTAGATACTGTGCCATGTTCAGTATATGGTTGTCTATATACTGTGCCATGTTCAGTATGGTTGTCTAGATACTGTGCCCTGTTCAGTATGGTTGTCTAGATACTGTGTGCCATGTTCAGTATGGTTGTCTAGATACTGTGTGCCATGTTCAGTATGGTTGTCTAGATACTGTGTGCCATGTTCAGTATGGTTGTCTAGATACTGTGTGCCATGTTCAGTATGGTTGTCTAGATACTGTGTGCCATGTTCAGTATGGTTGTCTAGATACTGTGTGCCATGTTCAGTATGGTTGTCTAGATACTGTGTGCCATGTTCAGTATGGTTGTCTAGATACTGTGTGCCATGTTCAGTATGGTTGTCTAGATACTGTGTGCCATGTTCAGTATGGTTGTCTAGATACTGTGTGCCATGTTCAGTATGGTTGTCTAGATACTGTGTGCCATGTTCAGTATGGTTGTCTAGATACTGTGTGCCATGTTCAGTATGGTTGTCTAGATACTGTGTGCCATGTTCAGTATGGTTGTCTAGATACTGTGTGCCATGTTCAGTATGGTTGTCTAGATACTGTGTGCCATGTTCAGTATGGTTGTCTAGATACTGTGCCCTGTTCAGTATAGTTGTGTAGATACTGTGTGCCATGTTCAGTATGGTTGTCTAGATACTGTGTGCCATGTTCAGTATGGTTGTCTAGATACTGTGTGCCATGTTCAGTATGGTTGTCTAGATACTGTGTGCCATGTTCAGTATGGTTGTCTAGATACTGTGTGCCATGTTCAGTATGGTTGTCTAGATACTGTGTGCCATGTTCAGTATGGTTGTCTAGATACTGTGTGCCATGTTCAGTATGGTTGTCTAGATACTGTGTGCCATGTTCAGTATGGTTGTCTAGATACTGTGTGCCATGTTCAGTATGGTTGTCTAGATACTGTGTGCCATGTTCAGTATGGTTGTCTAGATACTGTGTGCCATGTTCAGTATGGTTGTCTAGATACTGTGTGCCATGTTCAGTATGGTTGTCTAGATACTGTGTGCCATGTTCAGTATGGTTGTCTAGATACTGTGTGCCATGTTCAGTATGGTTGTCTAGATACTGTGTGCCATGTTCAGTATGGTTGTCTAGATACTGTGTGCCATGTTCAGTATGGTTGTCTAGATACTGTGTGCCATGTTCAGTATGGTTGTCTAGATACTGTGTGCCATGTTCAGTATGGTTGTCTAGATACTGTGTGCCATGTTCAGTATGGTTGTCTAGATACTGTGTGCCCTGTTCAGTATAATTGTATAGATACTGTGTGCTGTGTTCAGTATAGTTGTCTAGATACTGTGTGCCCTGTTCAGTATAGTTGTGTAGATACTGTGTGTCCTGTTCAGTATGATTGTCTAGATACTGTGTGCCCTGTTCAGTATGATGGTCTAGATACTGTGCCATGTTCAGTATAGTTGTGTAGATACTGTACCCTGTTCAGTATGATTGTCTAGATACTCTGTGCCCTGTTCAGTATGGTTGTCTAGATACTGTGCCATGTTCAGTTTAACTGTCTAGATACTGTGTGCCCTGTTCAGTATGATTGTCTAGATACTCAGTACCCTGTTCAGTATAATTGTCTAGATACTGTGCCATGTTCAGTTTAACTGTCTAGATACTGTGTGCCCTGTTCAGTATGATTGTCTAGATACTGTGTGCCCTGTTCAGTATAATTGTCTAGATACTGTTTGCCCTGTTCAGTATGATTGTCTAGATACTGTGTGCCCTGTTCAGTATGATTGTCTAGATACTGTGTGCCCTGTTCAGTATTATTGTCTAGATACCGTACCATGTTCAGTATAATTGTCTAGATACTGTGCCATCTTCAGTATGGTTGTCTAGATACTGTGCCATGTTCAGTATAATTGTCTAGATACTGTGTGCCCTGTTCAGTATGATTGTCTAGATACTGTGTGCCATGTTCAGTATAATTGTCTAGATACTGTGTGCCCTGTTCTGTATAATTGTCTAGATACCGTACCATGTTCAGTTTAATTGTCTAGATACTGTGTGCCCTGTTCAGTATGATTGTCTAGATACTGTGTGCCTTGTTAAGTATGATTGTCTAGATACTGTGTGCCCTGTTCAGTATGATTGTCTAGATACTGTGTGCCCTGTTAAGTATGATTGTCTAGATACTGTGTGCCCTGTTCAGTATGATTGTCTAGATACTGTGTGCCCTGTTCAGTATGATTGTCTAGATACTGTGTGCCCTGTTAAGTATGATTGTCTAGATACTGTGTGCCCTGTTCAGTATGATTGTCTAGATACTGTGTGCCCTGTTCAGTATAATTGTCTAGATACTGTGTGCCCTGTTCAGTATGATTGTCTAGATACTGTGTGCCCTGTTAAGTATGATTGTCTAGATACTGTGTGCCCTGTTCAGTATGATTGTCTAGATACTGTGTGCCCTGTTCAGTATGATTGTCTAGATACTGTGTGCCCTGTTCAGTATGATTGTCTAGATACTGTGTGCCCTGTTCAGTATGATTGTCTAGATACTGTGTGCCCTGTTCAGTATGATTGTCTAGATACTGTGTGCCCTGTTCAGTATGATTGTCTAGATACTGTGTGCCCTGTTCAGTATGATTGTCTAGATACTGTGTGCCCTGTTCAGTATAATTGTCTAGATACTGTGCCATCTTCAGTATGATTGTGTAGATACTGTACCATGTTCAGTATAATTGTCTAGATACTGTGTGTCCTATCAATAGAACTGAATAACACTGGCATAAAACTGACATAACACTGACAAGATCAGTAATTGTACATAAATTTACCATGTCAACTTTTCAGTGATATTTACATAAAAAACTGGTATTTTCATATTTGTGTTTAAACAATAGAATAGTTAAATCATCATCTTCCTTTAATACATTACTTGACAGAAATCTTGGATGCGTGAACAAAGACACTCGATCTGAATTCAGTGTGATATAAACATACTCACACAGAACAGATATAACAAACATACTCACACAGAACAGATATAACATACATGTAATTAAAACAAATGTGGTAGCTAGGTGTGAACTCATCACTAACCAGCTTCACAAGCTTAGTAGGTAAAAGACTTTATACAATTTCTGTTAAGGCTCGTCATGTAATTAGTAGTCATGTAAAATTTGTATTGATCAAAATTTCAGACAAACACAACAGGACAAGGAAATACATAGTTTGTGTACTAAGTTTACTTCTAATAAAGCCCAAGAGACTGTATACGGTATATAAGAACCTCAAATTATTATTACTATATACATATATGTAGATCTAAAACTACACCATACAGGCTAGGGTAATCTATTTATTACAGACTAGGTGGCCAAACTGACAGCCTAAAACCTAATCAATTAGTCGTAATTAACAGCCTAAAAAACCTAATCAATTAGTCGTAATTAACAGCCTAAAACCTAATCAATTAGTCATAATTAAGAGTCTAAAATTGTCACTTGGCCTATAATAGTTAGGGAGTTAATACTAGCTGACCCTTATGTCACAAGGCTATGCTACAAAGCCCTCATCTTGACTGAACCACAATAACCACTCTAAAGACACAGACAGCCTATTGTGTGTATAATAAGGGTCACTTCAGATGGCCGGACCACTCTAAAGACACAGACAGCCTGTTATGTGTATAAGGGTCACTTCAGATGGCCTGACGTGTTTGTCCTACATCTACAGCATATTGTCTGTGTGGGTCAATGTCAGCTTTAACATTGAGGTCACATGTATAAAGGTATATATTATATATTTTTCTTACATGTTTATTAGTGTTTGTTGCACACCCAGGGTATGTTGCATAGAATTATCTCAAGATCAAAATATTCAAATCTGAACCCCAGAATACATTGTAGCTTTATATATATATTTCAGAAACCAACTTTTGGTCCAGATCAATTTGGTTTTGTACAGCATTTCTGAATACAAATTAAACATAAATAGACTAAGGTATATATGAGTATGGGCATTTATATTATTACACTATATATATCCTCTTAAGGACTTGAACTTTGAGTTAAGTATATCACTGTTATAGGTCAACGGTCAACTTGCTTGTTTTTGCTTCCCTGCTGAAGTTATCAAAAAGAAAAAGAAACTTTGTTGATTTAATATAGCTACATGTATATAAATTAAAAAAATGTGGTATTTTTTTTACTTATTTCTCAAATTTAAAACACCGCTTATATTTAACAAGTGATAATATGTGTTTAACTTATAACAAATTTTCTAGGTGTATTGTTAACTATTAAATCTACCTCAAATTTGAAGAATAAATCATAAAATTAAAGTATTAGTTGAAAACTTATTAAAAATAATTAAGGATTGAAACAGATTCTTTTCATAGACTTAAGTGACATGATCCATAATTTCTAGGGCTGTCACAATATATCGGAAAACAGGTATATCGCAATACACAGGTATAATGTATCGTACCACAATACAGAGATGAAATATTGCTGTATTGCAATATTTTTCTAAAAGCTTATTTTTATGTATCTCATTCTGCTTGGTGTTTTAACTTTGTAGATAAGTACAAATTCTACCAGATATGCCAAATGAGCATTAAACAAAGCTTGTAATAGTGGTGGGAATTAGTTCAAATGTTGTAATCGATGTTTGGTTTGACAAAAATCTTAAATCTATGTGATCCATATTATATATGATATAAGTTTGATAACATTCTGACAACAACTTATTATAAAATCGAGCACATCTTTCCTACGACAATACATCGGGATACGTATCGCAATATATTTATTCTGTATTGCAATATATCGTGATACTCTTGGCGTATCGTGACACCCCCAATAATTGAATTCAAATAATGATAACATGGTGCTGCACATTACTGGGATTTGTCTAGAATCATGTTCAGAAAGGAGTATAACTACGTACAGAAAAGTGACTGAGACCTATCCTGGACTCCTGTAACCAGCTGTGGGATAGAGATTATCTAGATAATACAATATCTATCCCTTTTTGTTTTAGGCCACAATTTCTAGTAAGCTGACGGAAGTGAAGAAAAAGGTGATTCCTCTAAATGATCGTATACAGGTGCTGGAGGACATCATCAGGGGAATTGATGTAAGTATCATGTACATACCAGCCTCTAAGGATTTAAATGATGTAAGTATCATGTACATACCAGCCTCTAAGGATTTAAATGATGTAAGTATCATGTACATACCAGCCTCTAAGGATTTAAATGATGTAAGTATCATGTACATACCAGCCTCTAAGGATTTAAATGATGTAAGTATCATGTACATACCAGCCTCTAAGGATTTAAATGATGTAAGTATCATGTACATACCAGCCTCTAAGGATTTAAATGATGTAAGTATCATGTACATACCAGCCTCTAAGGATTTAAATGATGTAAGTATCATGTACATACCAGCCTCTAAGGATTTAAATGATGTAAGTATCATGTACATACCAGCCTCTAAGGATTTAAATGATGTAAGTATCATGTACATACCAGCCTCTAAGGATTTAAATGATGTAAGTATCATGTACATACCAGCCTCTAAGGATTTAAATGATGTAAGTATCATGTACATACCAGCCTCTAAGGATTTAAATGATGTAAGTATCATGTACATACCAGCCTCTAAGGATTTAAATGATGTAAGTATCATGTACATACCAGCCTCTAAGGATTTAAATGATGTAAGTATCATGTACATACCAGCCTCTAAGGATTTAAATGATGTAAGTATCATGTACATACCAGCCTCTAAGGATTTAAATGATGTAAGTATCATGTACATACCAGCCTCTAAGGATTTAAATGATGTAAGTATCATGTACATACCAGCCTCTAAGGATTTAAATGATGTAAGTATCATGTACATACCAGCCTCTAAGGATTTAAATGATGTAAGTATCATGTACATACCAGCCTCTAAGGATTTAAATGATGTAAGTATCATGTACATACCAGCCTCTAAGGATTTAAATGATGTAAGTATCATGTACATACCAGCCTCTAAGGATTTAAATGATGTAAGTATCATGTACATACCAGCCTCTAAGGATTTAAATGATGTAAGTATCATGTACATACCAGCCTCTAAGGATTTAAATGATGTAAGTATCATGTACATACCAGCCTCTAAGGATTTAAATGATGTAAGTATCATGTACATACCAGCCTCTAAGGATTTAAATGATGTAAGTATCATGTACATACCAGCCTCTAAGGATTTAAATGATGTAAGTATCATGTACATACCAGCCTCTAAGGATTTAAATGATGTAAGTATCATGTACATACCAGCCTCTAAGGATTTAAATGATGTAAGTATCATGTACATACCAGCCTCTAAGGATTTAAATGATGTAAGTATCATGTACATACCAGCCTCTAAGGATTTAAATGATGTAAGTATCATGTACATACCAGCCTCTAAGGATTTAAATGATGTAAGTATCATGTACATACCAGCCTCTAAGGATTTAAATGATGTAAGTATCATGTACATACCAGCCTCTAAGGATTTAAATGATGTAAGTATCATGTACATACCAGCCTCTAAGGATTTAAATGATGTAAGTATCATGTACATACCAGCCTCTAAGGATTTAAATGATGTAAGTATCATGTACATACCAGCCTCTAAGGATTTAAATGATGTAAGTATCATGTACATACCAGCCTCTAAGGATTTAAATGATGTAAGTATCATGTACATACCAGCCTCTAAGGATTTAAATGATGTAAGTATCATGTACATACCAGCCTCTAAGGATTTAAATGATGTAAGTATCATGTACATACCAGCCTCTAAGGATTTAAATGATGTAAGTATCATGTACATACCAGCCTCTAAGGATTTAAATGATGTAAGTATCATGTACATACCAGCCTCTAAGGATTTAAATGATGTAAGTATCATGTACATACCAGCCTCTAAGGATTTAAATGATGTAAGTATCATGTACATACCAGCCTCTAAGGATTTAAATGATGTAAGTATCATGTACATACCAGCCTCTAAGGATTTAAATGATGTAAGTATCATGTACATACCAGCCTCTAAGGATTTAAATGATGTAAGTATCATGTACATACCAGCCTCTAAGGATTTAAATGATGTAAGTATCATGTACATACCAGCCTCTAAGGATTTAAATGATGTAAGTATCATGTACATACCAGCCTCTAAGGATTTAAATGATGTAAGTATCATGTACATACCAGCCTCTAAGGATTTAAATGATGTAAGTATCATGTACATACCAGCCTCTAAGGATTTAAATGATGTAAGTATCATGTACATACCAGCCTCTAAGGATTTAAATGATGTAAGTATCATGTACATACCAGCCTCTAAGGATTTAAATGATGTAAGTATCATGTACATACCAGCAGCCTCTAAGGATTTAAATGATGTAAGTATCATGTACATACCAGCCTCTAAGGATTTAAATGATGTAAGTATCATGTACATACCAGCCTCCAAGGATTTAAATGGGGAGGGTTTTCAAATTGTATGCACATTGTGCTGGGACACTCTACCTAATATATCTAGTTTACGGAGAAAACATGAGAACATTGATTTGAATTTCTATCTACTTTATCATGCCACTTTCTATCTACTTTATCATGCCACTTTCTGTCTACTTTATCATGCCACTTTCTATCTACTTTATTTTGCCACTTTCTATCCACTTTATCTTGCCACTTTCTATCTACTTTATCATACCACTTTCTATCTACTTTATCTTGCCCCTTTCTATCTACTTTATCATGCCACTTTATATCCTCTTTATCATGCCACTTTCTATCTACTTAATCATGGCACTTTCAATCTACTTTATCATGCCGCTTTCAATCTACTTTATCATGCCACTTTCTATCCACTTTATCTTGCCACTTTCTATCTACTTTATCATGCCACTTTCTGTCTACTTAATCATGCCACTTTCTATCTACTTAATCATGCCACTTTCAATCTACTTTATCATGCCACTTTCAATCTACTTTATCATGCCACTTTCTATCTACTTTATTATGCCACTTTCTATCTACTTTATCTTGCCACTTTCTATCTACTTTATCATGCCACTTTCTATCTACTTTATCTTGCCACTTTCTATCTGCTTTATCATGCCACTTTCTATCTTCTTTATCATGCCACTTTCTATCTACTTTAGCTTGCCACTTTCTATCTACTTTATCCTGCTACTTTCTATCTACTTTATCATGCAACTTTCTATCTACTTTATCATGCAACTTTCTATCTACTTTATCATGCCCCTTTCTATCTGCTTTATCATGCCACTTTCTATCCACTTTATCTTGCCACTTTCTATCTCATTTATCATGCCACTTTCTATCTTCTTTATCATGCCCCTTTCTATCTACTTTACCTTGCCACTTTCTATCTACTTTATCCTGCTACTTTCTATCTACTTTATCATGCAACTTTCTATCTACTTTATCTTGCAACTTTCTATCTACTTTATCTTGCCACTTACTATCCTCTTTATCATGCCACTTTCTATCTAGTTTATCTTGCCACTTTCTATCTACTCTATCATGCCACTTTCTATCCTCTTTATCATGCCACTTTCTATCTCCTTTATCATACCCCTTTCTATCTACTTTATCTTGCCCCTTTCAATCTTCTTTATCATGCCACTTTCAATCTTCTTTATCATGCCACTTTCTATCCACTTTATCTTGCCACTTTCAATCTACTTTATCATGCCGCTTTCAATCTACTTTATCATGCCACTTTCTGTCTACTTTATCATGCCACTTTCTATCTTCTTTATCATGCCCCTTTCTATCCACTTTATCTTGCCACTTTCAATCTACTTTATCATGCCTCTTTCAATCTACTTTATCATGCCCCTTTCTATCTGCTTTATCATGCCACTTTCAATCTTCTTTATCATGCCACTTTCTATCCTCTTTATCATGCCACTTTCTATCTCCTTTATCATGCCACTTTCTATCTTCTTTATCATGCCACTTTCAATCTGCTGTATCATGCCACTTTCTATCTACTTCATCTTGCCACTTTCTATCTACTTTGTCATGCCACTTTCTATCTACTTTATCCTGCTACTTTCTATCTACTTTATCATGCAACTTTCTATCTACTTTATCTTGCCCCTTTCAATCTTCTTTATCATGCCACTTTCAATCTCCTTTATCATGCCACTTTCTATCTTCTTTATCATGCCCCTTTCTATCTACTTTATCATGCCCCTTTCTATCCACTTTATCTTGCCACTTTCTATCTACTTTATCATGCCACTTTCTATCTCCTTTATCATACCACTTTCTATCTACTTTATCTTGCCACTTTCAATCTACTTTATCATGCCACTTTCAATCTACTTTATCATGCCACTTTCTATCTACTTTATCATGCCACTTTCTATCTACTTTATCATGCCACTTTCTATCTACTTTATCTTGCCACTTTCTATCCTCTTTGTCATGGCACTTTCTATCTACTTTATCATGCCTCTGCCAAGAACCTCATTTTCCACCTGATAAAATTCAGAAATGTCGGGAGTTGACAAAATTAATAGTGTGCGGATATCTACTGCATTAATTAGTGGTAAACGAAGTTGTATGCAGTACTAGCACACCTATATAAGTAATTAGTGGAATCAAGACACATTGATTTGATCCCTTACTAACCAGATTAATTTATGATATCCTTTAAGTAAAAATGAGACTTGGAACACACATACAGTAAACAATGTATTTGAAAAATGTGCTAATATCTGCAAGATTGATATTTTAGTCAGTAATTTTGTAGAAAAAGTTTAAGAACTATGTAGTTTTATTTAAGTGTACAAATAAGGCATAATATGATTTTCTATACCACAGTGTCATCTCAATTCCTGTATTTGTTCCAAACTTTTTTTTTTCAATTGTGACGTCAGCAGTTTCATCTGATTATCAAACAGACGTTAAGCTATGTATACCAGGATTTTTTTTACCTCAGTACTTTTTCTCTTTCCTTGAATAAGATGACAAATTCATCAAATGTCAAAAATTAGGATAAATTAGATGTATTAAAAAAAATGAATCAAAAGAGTCAATCCATCAGTTTCATTTGAATATGTATAAAAAATGTACTGCTACAAAAACATTATGGTTTACAGGGCTAGTGATGTGCTAAGATGTATTTGTTAAGGTAATAAAATAGAAAATTGACCTGTACATATGTAGTAACTACACTTAAATAGATACCAATATACCAGTAATAGTGAGCTTTTACCAATATACCAGTAATGGTGAGCTTTTACCAATATACCAGTAATAGTGAGCTTTTACCAATATACCAGTAATAGTGAGCTTTTACCAATATACCAGTAACAGTGAGCTTTTACCAATATACCAGTAATAGTGAGCTTTTACCAATATACCAGTAATAGTGAGCTTTTACCAATATACCTGTAATGGTGAGCTTTTACCAATATATCAGTAATGGTGAGCTTTTACCAATATACCAGTAATAGTGAGCTTTTACCATTATACCAGTAATAGTGAGCTTTTACCAATATACCAGTAATAGTGAGCTTTTTACTACCCTATGTTTCATGTTCATCTTCAGGCGAACCAGCAGAAGGTGGAGAAACAACTAGTGTTAGAGATTTCCTCCCTTGTTTCCCTTCTTAACAGTCGTCAGGAGGAGCTGACACGCCTTCTTGGTAATGACATCCTAGACATCCGTCGACCTGTGGAGGACCATTTAAGGCGGTACAAGAACCTCCAGACAACCATACAGGAACATTTCAAAAAGCTCAGTATGGTCAAGGGTACAAAGGACGTTAGTCTGAGGATTAAGGTTAGTCCTATTGTACGTTAATGTTATCTGGCTCTGACAATTGCAGGAAGTAGGCATTGTATTAAAATGTTAATGCCCAATGTTATGATATTATTTTGTAATTTGTATGTGATGTTTTAGTATGAATTATTGTGTTTTGAAAACAGGTTACTCTGACATTCGACAAATAATTGTACTACACAGTGCCTTATATAGTAAGGAACAATTATATAGTATGGTACAATTATAGTAAGTAATATATATAGTATGGTACAATTATAGTAAGGAACAATTATATAGTATGGTACAATTATATGGTACAATTATAGTAAGAATATAAATAGTATGGTACAATTATAGTAAGGAACAATTATATAGTATGGTACAATTATAGTAAGGAACAATTACATAGTATGGTACAATTATAGTAAGGAACAATTATATAGTATGGTACAATTATAGTAAGGAACAATTATATAGTATGGTACAAAAATATGGTACAATTATAGTAAGAATATATAGTATGGTACAATTATAGTAAGGAACAATTATATAGTATGGTACAATTATAGTAAGAAACAATTATATGGTATGGTACAATTATAGTAAGGAACAATTATATAGTATGGTACAATTATAGTATGGTACAATTATATAGTATGGTACAAAAATATGGTACAATTATAGTAGGGAACAATTATAGTAATTATATGTACAGTACAGTTATAGAAGGGATCAAGTATAGTAAGGTACAAGTATAGTACGGTATAATTATAGTTAGATACAATTATAGTATGGTACAATTATTACTGCCTTACTATCTCTATACTGCTGATGTCAGAAGTAATGGACTATTAACTGGTCTATATATATATACAGCTGATGTCAGAAGTGTTGGACTATTAACTGGTCTATATATATATACAGCTGATGTCAGAAGTGTTGGACTATTAACTGGTCTATATCTCTATACAGCTGATGTCAGAAGTGTTGGACTATTAACTGGTCTATATCTCTATACAGCTGATGTCAGAAGTGTTGGACTATTAACTGGTCTATATCTCTATACAGCTGATGTCAGAAGTGTTGGACTATTAACTGGTCTATATCTCTATACAGCTGATGTCAGAAGTGTTGGACTATTAACTGGTCTATATCTCTATACAGCTGATGTCAGAAGTGTTGGACTATTAACTGGTCTATATCTCTATACAGCTGATGTCAGAAGTGTTGGACTATTAACTGGTCTATATCTCTATACAGCTGATGTCAGAAGTGTTGGACTATTAACTGGTCTATATCTCTATACAGCTGATGTCAGAAGTGTTGGACTATTAACTGGTCTATATCTCTATACAGCTGATGTCAGAAGTGTTGGACTATTAACTGGTCTATATCTCTATACAGCTGATGTCAGAAGTGTTGGACTATTAACTGGTCTATATCTCTATACAGCTGATGTCAGAAGTGTTGGACTATTAACTGGTCTATATCTCTATACAGCTGATGTCAGAAGTGTTGGACTATTAACTGGTCTATATCTCTATACAGCTGATGTCAGAAGTGTTGGACTATTAACTGGTCTATATCTCTATACAGCTGATGTCAGAAGTGTTGGACTATTAACTGGTCTATATCTCTATACAGCTGATGTCAGAAGTGTTGGACTATTAACTGGTCTATATCTCTATACAGCTGATGTCAGAAGTGTTGGACTATTAACTGGTCTATATCTCTATACAGCTGATGTCAGAAGTGTTGGACTATTAACTGGTCTATATCTCTATACAGCTGATGTCAGAAGTGTTGGACTATTAACTGGTCTATATCTCTATACAGCTGATGTCAGAAGTGTTGGACTATTAACTGGTCTATATCTCTATACAGCTGATGTCAGAAGTGTTGGACTATTAACTGGTCTATATCTCTATACAGCTGATGTCAGAAGTGTTGGACTATTAACTGGTCTATATCTCTATACAGCTGATGTCAGAAGTGTTGGACTATTAACTGGTCTATATCTCTATACAGCTGATGTCAGAAGTGTTGGACTATTAACTGGTCTATATCTCTATACAGCTGATGTCAGAAGTGTTGGACTATTAACTGGTCTATATCTCTATACAGCTGATGTCAGAAGTGTTGGACTATTAACTGGTCTATATCTCTATACAGCTGATGTCAGAAGTGTTGGACTATTAACTGGTCTATATCTCTATACAGCTGATGTCAGAAGTGTTGGACTATTAACTGGTCTATATCTCTATACAGCTGATGTCAGAAGTGTTGGACTATTAACTGGTCTATATCTCTATACAGCTGATGTCAGAAGTGTTGGACTATTAACTGGTCTATATCTCTATACGGCTGATGTCAGAAGTGTTGGACTATTAACTGGTCTATATCTCTATACAGTTGATGTCAGAAGTGTTGGACTATTAACTGGTCTATATCTCTATACAGCTGATGCAGGACTCTGAAAAGCAGCTGAACAGTCTGCTGTGTTTTGACCTGGCCTGGTTTTCGTCCAATGATATGCCGGCAGTAGACATGCCCTCCTGGTTACTACAGAAACACAATATTGAGCAGAAGATTTCAGAATTTAAATGGCAAAAAAAAGGTTTGTGCTTGTGAAAAATTAACAATATGATGTTGGAAAATAGAAATACTGCGGTAAAACAAACATCTTGGTTTGCCTGAGTGGCTTTTAAGATAGAGTCGTCTATCTGTATCCTCTCGGACAAGTGTTTTCTAGACTAAAAGATTTACATATATTTGTGAAATTAGTAACACAGAACTTTATATCAAATTTCTTACCTAGTTTTAGAAGTCAAAATTCATGTATCGAAAGATAAAAAATGGTCTCATACATAAAATATTGTTTTAAGGCACATAAAACAATATCTAGTATAAGTATTTTATAGTAGTACTCCCGGTGTCCTTATACTTCAGGTAGAGTGGTTTGTTTTTCAAGATGAGATATATTTAGTGTTTCTTTAATTCAGAATTTAGTTATGACAGATCTTAGTAAAACGAAAGAGGTTTAAACATTTAAATAATTGTAAATTCATCATTGCTTTACCAGGTGGGGATGGTACCAGGCCACTGATGCCCCTTGTGCCCTTACAGATGCCAGTGCTTAGCCAATCAGAACCTATGTCAATGGGATTCGGCAGTCGGTGTAGCAGTGCAGAAAGAGACTCTCCAGAATTGATCAAAACACCAATAGTTTCTGGATTTGATTCTGGATTTAAAGTTGCCAGAGGACCACAAGATGCTGGGAAGAAATTTTCACCAGAAATTGCCAAATTACCTGTTGCCCCAGGATTGGACTCATTCCTTCAGCAAACAAGTGAAGCCTCCTCCTCACCGTTCGCTTTGCCTCAGTGTAGTACTAACTCAAGGACAGACACTTCCGGTACCAGTATGTCTTTCAGTGTACCGAAATCTAGACGTTCTGACGGCAGTGTGGATGTCTCTTTCCCAGCAGGGGGAGGTACAAAACTTTTCAGTCTGTCGCTTTCAGGGAAAGGAGGTCCTCCCAATGTAGTTAGAGCTCCAACAAGTGTTACCATGACAACACAGAAGCCTGTCTCTACTACACAAACAGCAATACCTGCAAAGCCAATGGGTGCAAGTTCTACTTTTAAGTTTGAGAGTGTAACAGATCCAAGTGGTGCTGCATCAGCCGCCACATCTGGGGCAAGACAAGGACATACTGGTAGGAAGTACCCAACATTAACAACCTCTGATTTTATACCAAGAAAAACAGTGTCAGGTAAATCAAGCTTTGTAATGGCACAGGAACAGCCGATGGAGATTGTGTCCGAGTCCAGCTCCATGGCTAGTAGTATTTCTGTGTCAGTCAACAGTGATGGCCCTGGCAATGTGTCTACTGTTACCTCTGGACTGGACAAACTTTCGTTGTCAGACGCGCAGACTGCTTTACCATCAGTCCCAGTTATTTCTCCCTCAATCAACCAGAACACACCCCTTGAAGTTAAGTTTCCAGTCTTTCCAGGAAATCCTAATCCTTCAAATTCCAGTTCAGGAAATGTTTCAAGTGGAGCTATTTCCTTTAGAGTTTCTCTTGGTCAGAGCTTGCCACCATACTCTCCTCCAACTGTCAGCATGACAGAACAGTCAGCAAGCCTGACTCGTTCTTCTAATGACAATTTTAATACACAGTCAAATATTCCAATGAAGGGAGATAACTCATCTAGACAAATAGCATGCGGAGCATCTGGTTCAAAGACAGAATCACCTAGTGTCACCACTTTGACATTTGGTGTGAAACCTAAAACCAGTAGTGGCTTCATTTTTCCTAGCAACCAAAACCTGTTGAAGCCAGTAGTTAGTGCTGCTACCATGACAACCACTTCAGTCACATCTGCAGTTCCTGTTTCTCAGTCTGCCACTTACAATGCAGCACCAGGTGTGTCTGTTTCCCTGAATTCATCTAATCACACTACCCGAAGAGCTAGTGCCCCTGTTGTGACAATAGCCAGAGGAAAGAGCGAAGAGGAAACAAGGTCCGCAACTGATGGAGGAACTTCAAACTTTGGAGATGGTCTGCCAAAACTTTCATCGAGGGATTTTTCACCTTCAAGGACTGGATCTCCACCTAGACCTGTTACCTACCGACGCATTGTTAAACCAAAGACCAAGTTACCTCGAAAATGACAATTATTTTTAAAACCTACAATTTGTCCTATGGATATTTAGTTTTTACAATATAGTTTTAATTTATTTATCACAGTAAATCTGTCCCAATTGTCAAGTGCTTAGTGAACTTAGTCTGACCACCATATTTAAATTTATCCTTAAATTATTTGCATCAAAAAAGAGCGTTTAGATCTTAGTTTATGAAATGGTAAACTTAAAACTTTTCTCGTGAGCTTACCTATTAATTTTAGATACAAATTAATAATTTAGATTTTTTTCAATTGTGAAAAAAACTCAAATTTGACATCAATGTTTTAATTGTTTTTGTTATATTCAAATGTTCATTTTGCACAGTAGTGTGATATATTTGAACAGAGAAAATATAGTTCAATCAATTCTGTCTAAATTGTTATTAATGATTTTGGATTTCATGTGTGACATGTTACTTAACAATCTTGATTAATTTAGCTTTAATTTAGATTACCAGGCTCAAGTAAAATATATCTACTTCCTTAAAGATCAAGCACAGCTAAGATTTGTATTACAGATTTAAATGTTAGGAAAACAAGATGTGAGAGTAAGATCTGGTTTGGATATATTGTGTAACAGAGAAAGGATTCTACAGAGTGTGTACATAGACAACTGATAAAAACAACAGTTCTGTAGATAGACAACTGATAAAAGCAACAGTTCTGTAGATAGACAAATGATAAAAACAACAGTTCTGTAGATAGACAACTGATAAAAACACAACAGTTCTGTACATAGACAACTGATAAAAACAACAGTTCTATAGATAGAGCGCTGATAAAAACAACAGTTCTGTAGATAGACAACTGATAAAAACAACAGTTCTGTAGATAGAACGCTAACTATCCAACATTACTCTGACACTGTGAAGATTGTATAATTTTGTTTCACCAATAGATTAGATAGCATACAAGTGAACCTATATTATTAAATTTAATTCAATTTATCAATTAACTAAGGTATGTTATACGCGGACAGAGAGTAAACTTGAAGAAGTGTTCCCCATTGACATCTGTAAGTTAGTAAAATGGTTAAATAGCGATACAGGCTTGTGATATGGAACTATATCTTTGTGTCAAACATTTTGATGTTGATTTTGTGTGCACTATCATAAAAAAATTAACAATGTACGTTATAAAAATTGGTCAGCTTGCACTAAGTCTATTCCGTCTTTTCGTATTGCAGAGTTATCTGCTCTTGTGAGCAGGTATTGATTGTTACTTCATTTGTTTGTGAGAGTAACGTCATCAATTTTTGAGAAAATGATGTAATTTTCTCACACAAACCAATGACGTAACAATCAATACCTGATCACAAGAGAAGATAACTCTACAATAGGCAAAGATGGAATAAGTCTTGCCTCACTCTGTATGGTTTTTTTTCAATCAAAATGTTAACATCCATGATCTCACATGTACAGTCCTTCAACACAATGCTGCTTGTTGTATATTTTTTTCTCTTATAAAATTGTTTCAAGAGAAATGATAACACATTCGCGTACAGTCGTACATACAGGCCTCTTCTATGGTACTATATCATCACGTACAGTCATACATACAGGCCTCTTCTATATGGTACTATATCAATGTAATCTCAAATAGGGAACGTTGTCACACACAAGGAGAAAAACCTTGCTAGAAATCTGTTGACTTTTGAACTGCGCCTGATACTTTCATTATATTAGCTGTTCATACACAAATATCATTTAAAGATTTGTTGGAATAAACACTGCAGCATATTATTTTGAATTCATATTTTATCATTCATTTGCTGAAACATATAGTCCTTATTTTAAAAGGGAAAATTATTTTTTGCCATAAAGTGTTTATTACTTTGTATCCATTTGATTTTCTTTCTTTCACCTTTATTATCACTTCAATGTGTGTTCCTTATCATTGCATTTTAGGTGCGTTTTTTCGACAGTGAAACTACAGTCAAACCTTGATGCAATGCCCCTATAACTACAGTCAAACCTTGATGCAATTCCCCTATTACTACAGTCAAACCTTGATGCAATGCCCCTATAGCTACTGTCAAAACCTTGATGCAATGCCCCTATAGCTACTGTCAAACTTTGATGCAATGCCCCTATAGCTACTGTCAAACCTTGATGCAATGCTCCTATAGCTACTGTCAAACCTTGATGCAATGCCCCTATAGCTACAGTCAAACATTGATGCAATGCCCCTATAACTACAGTCAAGCCTTGATGCAATGCCCCTATAACTACAGTCAAACCGTGATGCAATGCCCCTATAACTACAGTCAAACCTTGATGCAATGCCCCTACAACTACAGTCAAACCTTGATGCAATTCCCCTATTACTACAGTCAAACCTTGATGCAATGCCCCTATAACTACAGTCAAGCCTTGATGCAATGCCCCTATAGCTACAGTCAAACCTTGATGCATTGCCCCTATAGTTTCATTTATCACCTCGCTTGCAGCTAACATATTTCAAGGGCCCTTTTTCTCTTCTTTTTTTAGCTCACCTGGCCCAAATGGCCATGTGAGCTTATGCCGTACTGCAGCGTCCGTCGTCCGTCATCCGTAGTCAGGCGTCCGTCGGTCAATTTTTTCTTTTGAACGACTTCTTTTGAAAAACCTAGGGTCATGATATTTGGTCAGTAGGTACCTGGGATGAAGTGCTATAAAGTTTCTTCATTAAAATGACCTTGACCTGATTTGTCACAGCGGTCAAATATGTTAAAAATTTCAAACAACAATATCCTAAGATCCATTTGAACTAGAGTCATGATACTTGGGTATGTTATGAAGACCAGCAGTGCAAATATTTTTCTCAATTACAGTAATGAGGTCAAAGGTCAACTTTAAATGCTAGTCGGGGGTCAAATGTCAACTTTGGTTAAAAGCTTTAACAATCTTCTTCTCAAGTTCCATAAGGCCCAGGGTCATGATATTTGGCCAGTAGGTACCTGGGATGTAGTGCTAAAATTTTCCTCATTAAAATGACCTTGACCTACTATCAAGGTCACAGTGGTTAAATATGTTAAAAATTTCAAACAACAATATCTTAAGAACCATTTGAACTAGAGTTATGATACTTGGGTATTTTATGTAGACCAGCAGTGCAAATATTTGTTTCAGTTACAGTTATGAGGTCAAAGGTCAACTTTAAGTGCTAGTTTGGGGTCAAATGTCAACTTTGGTTAAAAGCTTTAATAGTCTTCTTCTCAAGTTCCATAAGGCCCAGGGTCATGATATTTGGCCAGTAAGTACCTGGGATGTGGTGCTATAAAGTTTCCTCATTAAATGACCTTGACCTACTTTCAAGGTCACAGGGGTCAAATATGTTAAAAATTTCAAACAACAATATCCTAAGAACCATTTGAACTAGAGTCATGATACTTGGGTATGTTATGTAGACCAGCTGTGTGAATTGTTTTCTTCATTACAGTAATGAGGTTAAAGGTCAACTTTAAGTGCAAATCGGGATTCAAAGGTCAATATGGGTTAAAAGCTTTAAAATTAAAATTTTAAGTTTCAAACAACAATATCTTCATAACCATATTAGAGATGTTAAAATGTCTTGTGTTCTAGTTAAAAAATTTGGTCTTAATTTACCTATATGTCAGTTGCATGTAACAAAAGAAACAGGTGAGCGATACAGGCCCTCTGGGCCTCTTTTTTTAAAAATTTCTGTGTACTTTTCCCTTAATTTAGCACCAATCCCGTTATCAAGCCAAACTTTCTTTGGAAAAATGTTGGCAGTGTAACAAGGTTTTACTGTAATTGCTATAGTTAGAAGATTTTATTCCAATTTACTGAACAAAAGTTGTTTGAAATATTTTTTTCTTAATATGAAGACAGATGTCTTACACATTGTTCATTTCTATCATCAATCATTTAGGCAAACATTTAATCAGAAATGTTATTAATGTCTGAATTTTCAGAAATCAATACAAAGTTGATACAATATTTATTTCACATACAGTATAACATCGACACACAATATTTATTTCACATACAGTATAACATAGACACACAATATTTATTTCACATACAATATAACATAGACACACAATATATATTTCACATACAATATAACATAGACACACAATATTTATTTCACATACAGTATAACATAGACACATTTTCCATCATATTTTTACACAATACTTATCTACGCACCAGGTCTGATGATTATCAAAAAGGTTGATATTGATTGTAATGATGATAGTGGGGCTTGTCACCTGTAAGTGTTCTTGTGTATAGGATTTAAAGTTTTGGAATGATTACTTTGTGGTTTTTTTTGACTGATCAGTGTAATGTTTAATCAAAAGCTATAACTATAGTTTCATTCACATACAATACCATTTGAAAATGCTGGTATTTCAATTTTCAAGTTATTTATTGCCTTTAGCATTTCAGCTAATTGATTTGGTGGTAGTTTTCAATAAACTGACACCAGCCACTCCTGTCAAACAAGGTGAACACTTCTTCTCCCACCCTTCACAGGTGTCTCCCGTTTTAACCGGGAAAGATCAGCTTGTTATAACCCCCTAGGGGGAGATAGCCTCATGCTGATTAGCATGTGTTCAATTGTGACGTCATTAAAATGCGTCATCGATAATTGTGACGTCATCAAAAATGAATGACGATATGCATACCCCACATGTGTTTTTGTTTAAAAACATGGCAGACTACTGTCGGTGGAGCTGTGGCTGAAATAAAAGGATGGGAAAAAAATAATCAACCCCTTTTGAGGGTGTAACAGAGAAATCTCCAACCCTCGGGGTGATTTTTTGGTTGTCTAACCCTCGACAGAGCCTTGGGTTAGACAACCAAAAAACATCACCCCTCGGGTTGGAGATTTCTCTCTCACACCCTCGAGGTAGGGGAAGATTCTATTATTCTCCCACCTTTGACTGAGTTGTGTCCCGTTTTACTTGTTCAAGATTACTTTGTCACCCCCTAGGGTATGACAGATTGCACCAAGATTACTTTGTCACCCCCTAGGGTATGACAGATTGCACAAAGATTACTTTGTCACCCCCTAGGGTATGACAGATTGCACCAAGACAAAATCATTTCTATGTCATCACAGGAACAAAAGATATGACGTCATAATAAGCTCTTGACTGGAGAGGCCATGTACAAATGAGGATAACAAACAGATTACAAATGTTGGAAACTAGAGTTTTTGAATATAGTATTGAAATGATACTAATAATCACCCCCTACCTTGAGAGTATAACAGAGAAATATCCCACCCTCGGGTGATTACTTTGTTGTCTAACCCTCAGCAGTTTCGGGTTAGACAACCAAATAAATCATCCCTCGGGTTTGAGATTTCTCTGTCACACGCTAAAGGTAGAGGAGATTGTATAATATCAGGATTGAATGAATCCTGGTGTGTATAACACCGTGATTTACTGTTATTTGTTATGTTTAAATCTGATCAATACTTATTACAGATCAGCTATTTATATACCGGTGAATTTTGTGTCTGACAAGCTTTGTGGATTTTTTCCTATTTCCACCTAAGTGCTGACCTTGTTTGTAGTGACCTTGTGATGACCTTGTGTTGAACTGATGGTGACCTTTACTGACCTTCTGTTGACCTCGTGCTGTCATTACATGGTGAAGTTAAGTTGACTTAATGTTGACCTTATGACCTATACTGACCTTGTTTTGACCTACTTTCCTTATGTTGAACCTGTTGTTGACCTAATTACCTTTAGATGACCTTGTTTTGACCTAATTTCCTTATGTCTAACCTGTGGTTGACCTAATTACCTTATGATGAGCTTGTGCTGATGTTGTTATTGCAAAATGTGTAAACCGTATGCCGACATGTTGACATTGTGAATGACTTCTTGTTGTCTGTTTGATAATATGTCTTATGGTGATCAATTATTGTGCTGAATTAAGTAACACATTTGATGGAGGTAAACTTGTGTTATGCCTGAAGGTACAAATTCATTATTACTGGAGTTCAAAGTGGTAAAAATCTACTTGATAATTAGCAGAAGTAAAACCTCCATTATTATAATGGAAGGGATAAAAACTTGATAATCAATGACTGTGAATGCAGTTGTTGAATGTATGAGTTAAAAACTTTATTGTTATAAAAATTGTTTTAATGATTAAGGTAAAAAACACTTTAGTTATAGAGGTAAAAACTTGTTCTATTAATCTAGGTAAACATCCATTATTGATGGCAGTGAAAACACACTG